CGGGGCCTTTCCCCTCCCCCCCACGCCTGGGGCCGACACGGTCGAGGGGGGCGTCCACGATCGCTCGAGGGTGGTAGTTGATCCCGCGCGGGGCCGCGACTTCAGCCCTCCTGTCTCCAACGAACTGTAAAAACGTCGTTTTTTTAGCCCCCCGGCTTAGGTGTCGCTGTCGGTGGCTTCAGCGGACTGTAAAATCTTTAATCCCGGTGTCGGTGTCGCCGTTCGCGGCTGCAAGGTCATCTTTAATCCTCCCGGTGTAGGTGTCGGTGGCTTCAGCGAACTATAAAACGCGGCCTTTGGCCCTCCTGGTTTAGGCGTCGCGGTCGGGGGCTTCGAGGGACTGTAAAACGCACCCCAGCGTTAAGCTGCAAACGCAGGCGTCGTTCTGCGCTTGGCGATAAAGAACGGTTATGATCCGACAGATCAGAAATGATCCCTTTTTCGTAAAATTGCTCGTTTTGGCTGGTTTTTGTAGGAGGAATTGAAGCCGTCTGGTGTTTCTAGCTTACAGATGTTCATTTTTGTAGGTAGAGGTTGTTAAAAACAGGCAGACGCATCCCCCCGTTTACAGTTGAAATGACAGCCGCGGCCGGTGCTCCCGGCAGCTCAGGGAGGCTCGCGAGCCCCCGGTGAGCCAGATCTCCCTGGCGTTAAGCTGAACTGCTCGATCGGAGACCCTGTTTGAAACCATGGCAGGTTAAGCGTAGAGGCGTTATGAAGCAGTCATCGGGTTTATGTCCTTGAAGCACCTGGTATTGCTCTGCGACAGGGCAAGGACAGCAGTGCGTGGGGCCACCGACACGTTTGTAATCTAGCCGTTCGTCTCCCCGTTTTCTGCTCCAGCTTGTAATGCTTCCTATCTGACGCCTTTTTCGCTTCCTTTCAAAAAGCTTTCGATCAACGCGTTCGACTACAATTGTCACCTGGACCTGATCAAGCTCCTCCGTCAGGAGGGAGAGCTGGTCAAGCTTCGAAGAGCTCGCCAGAAGATGAGCGAACTCTTCCCGCTCACTGAAGGTACGGGAGCTCTTGTCGCTAACGCCGTTCCCTCCGGCTTGATACGAACCCTCCTCCCTCTTCAGAAAATAAACTGTGTGTTGCGTGAAGCGTTGGGGTTAAACTTCATGAAGGGTTCACAAGACCAAATTAGGTAGACGCATTTGACTGCTCTGATGCAAATATTTTAAGCAGTAAAACTGAGTGCTGGGCATGCAGTGGCTAAAACCTTAAAATTTGTCTTTTTTCCTGAATTTACTAGTTTAAGTCGCAGAGAGCCGAAAGACTGATTTCTTTGTTTTGTTTTTGGTACTCACAGCAGCTGTGTGTTTCCCTGCTTTGCCTTGACAGTGTTGTAGTAGGGGGACCCCTTTTTAGGGACAAATGCAATCGCTCTGGCCAAGTACCTGTTGGAGTACACAGAGGGGCATCAGTTGTGGGATGGTTTCAGTTCAGGGCGCAGGGAATTATGGTTTAGCGCACAAGGGACCAGCTGTTCTCCTCCTTTTAAATACAAATTTGCCCGTACGTGTGGGTAAAAGCTGGCCAAAGGTTAGTGCAGTTCACTGTAGGTAACTGTCGGGTTCCAGGGCCTGTTTTCTTTTAAAAGTAATTCTCTGCTTAGATTCTTTTTCCAGTGACACGGTAACGATCCTACTTGTTTCTCAGGCTCTGGAATGTTCTTGGTTGATGGGGTCTGAAATGCCTGCTCTCTTACAGAAATCTGGCTGGACTGGTTAAAGGACGAGATCAGAATGGCTTCAGAAAACGCCGATCGAGAGAAGGTGTATGATTTGTTCGAGCGGGCTGTGAAAGACTATATCTGTAAGTTGCAGACACATCCGAAAAGTACATTACATTAGTGTGAACTATTCCTCCTCAATTATTTTTTCCTGGAAGGAAGAGAGTAGCTGCTTGGAAAACCTATGTAAGGCAGTGAATTGCAGAGTCAGGCTCATATGATTGTAGATTTCAGATAGATGTTGCCAAGCAATCTGCTGCTCTTACAGGCAGGAAACAGTTAACACTGTGTTCTGGCTTTGCATCGGCTGTTTTCTGTGAAGAACTCCCTGCACCTACTGAATCCTGTATCCCATAATGAACTCTCCTTTCCTTGCTTGGGGCAAATTAGTGATTTTAAAAGGTTTATTTTCACCACCTTGTTCTTGTCTGTAGACTTGGTTTCATTAGTTACTGCTGCCTTCAGTGTGTACCTTTGTATTCTTTCACTATAAAAGCTCTTTCAGAGTAGGGTATTGGTAGTATCACAAAGACCCTGTCCTTAAACGCCCTTCTAAGTGTCCAGCCCCACTCATGCTTTGCAGCAGTGGACAGTGAGAATTCTCATTAAAAGACAGGCAGGGGTTTGGTCCTTATCTACACCTCTTTGCCAGATGGTGGCTGCTGCTACATACCTAATTAGAGCACTAACTTATTCTTTCCCTTCATTGTGGTGGAGGGTTGAATGTGCATCATCTGCGAAGTGGAGTGGCAGGTTTGGAGGTATTGGTCATGGCCCCGTAGTTAGAGTTTTCTTCAGATATGCAATTAGACCCATTCCAGGAATCGCACACCCAGGGAGTTAAGTCCTAATTTGTCATAACTTGGTTGTTTCCAGCAAGGCAGATGGAGTTGCCTACCCAGCTCTCCTGGCCTTCGTTCTGTCAAAGAACATCAACTAACTTTCTTTTAATGCTAGTTTTTTGATTGCTGTCAGACTTCACTTATGTTACACACCCCAATTACAAAATCCTATGCAGAGGGTAACAGGAGGAAAAAAGCCACATCAGCCCTCTGTTGGCCATTGGGAAACATGGAAGTGACAGTTAACATGGCTTACCTTTAGGGATGCCAGTTGATAATTGGGAAGAAGGTAGAGAGATGAACTATAGTGGGGAAGTATTAGAGGCTGAGAAGGGGAACTGGTGAGTGGATAGCAGGTGATGTTTTGAATGACGGTTAGAGTGTTAGTGAATGGGTCTGTATCATCGTGGTGGGAGGTGGCCAGTGGTGTCCCGCAGGATTCAGTTCTTGGCCCCGTGCTGTTCAACATCTTTATCAGTGACTTAAATGAGGATGTGGAAAGCACACTGGCCAAGTTTGCGAACAATGCTAAGTGATGGGGAAAAGTGGTCACACTAGGGGATAGGATGCAGATCCAAGCAGACCTGAACAAGCTGGGAAGGTGGGCGGAGTGGAACCGGATGCAGTTCAATAAGGATAAATGCAGAGTGCTTCATCTGGGGAGAAGTAACCAGCAACATGAATATAGGTTAGGAGATTATGTCCTGGCCAGCATGATGGCTGAGAGGGACCTCTGGGCTATAGTTGATCACAGGATGAACATGAGCTGCCAGTATGATGCTGTAGTCAACATTGCTGATAGCATACTGGGATGCATTAGCTGATGCATTGTGAGCAGGGCTAAGGAAGTGATACTTTCTCTGTACTCAGCGTTGCTGATACCCCAGCTGGAGTCCTGTGTCCACTTCAAAAAAGATTTGGAGAATCTTGAAATGGTCCAGAGAAGGGCCACAAGAACGATTAAGGGTCAGGAGGACAAACCTTATGGGGAAAGACTAAGGGATCTGGGACTGTTCAGCCTGGGGAAAAGAAGACTGAGGGGGGACTCAGTGGCTGTTTATAAGTATGAAAGGGGTGAATACTGGGAGCTGGGAGGAAAAACTGTTCACCAAGACGACCAGGGGAGGACAAGGAGCAATGGCCATAAACTGTTAGAGGATGGTTCCAGGTTGGAAGCAAGGAAGAACTTCTTTATGGTAAGGGCGACCAGAATCTAGAATAGACTTCCCAAGGAGGTGGTGCAGTCCCCAACCTTGGAAGTCTTCAAGAGGAGATGGGACAGACACCTTGCTGAGATAATTTGATCTCGGCAGTATTCTTGCCCAGAGCAGGGGAGTTGGACTTTAAGATCTTTCAAGGTCGCTTCCAGCCCTTAATTTCTATGACTTGCTTTCAAGGGCCTGTGCAGTCTGGCATCATTAACCTTAATCCTTATGCAGTGCCCAGAAGCAAGATATAAGTGACATCTGTTGGCAGAGAAATTGCAGCTGTTGGTAGTGGGTCAAGAATGTGGCATAAATAATAATAATTTAGCTTCTCTCTCCCTCCATGGGATTGTAGTAGGATATGTTGTCAGTGTGCGCTGAAGACTGCATATATACTGTAAATATTGGGTGATACAGAAATGGGCATGGGAAGGAGGCTCTTTCTCTCCTGCCCTTTCTTTTAACATTCCTGATGGCTTTTGTTTAGGTCCTGAGATCTGGCTCGAGTATGCTCAGTATTCCATTGGGGGCATTGGGCTGGAAGGAGGGATCGAGAGGGTCCGCTCGGTATTTGAAAGAGCACTGACTGCTGTTGGCTTGCATGTCACAAAGGGAACAGCCATATGGGAGGCTTACCGGGAGTTTGAGAATGCCATCTTAGAAACAGCACAGGTAAGGTTTGGTTTTCTCCACTGTCTTACACATGAACAAATGGTGGTGTTGTAGGCCTCATGGGCAGGCGGGTGGGGGGCAGCACGGCTTTTCAGTAATCAGTACATCGCTGGTAAAGAAGGGCTTGTCTCCACATTTAGAGCCATTCCCAATTAACTCCAGGCATGGACACTTTTATTCAGGACTAAGCAGCCCCACACTGAGTTCATACAGAGTTTTGGGGTTTTTTTATTCCCAAGTTAGACTATCTCAGTCCCAGCAATTAATTTCCTTCCCCATTTTGTGTTGGCTTAGCAGTAGGGGAGAAATGGCCTGAAATGCGTGCCTTAAAGTACTATGTTTTGAAACGTTAGTGGTTTTTCCCTTTAATATTAAGCTGAATGATTCAATGCTTCTGAGTGTCTGCCTTAACTCGGAATTGATTCATTCTTCTCTACTCTCTGTGAACTTTGGTTTTTCAGTGGGTATTTCCAGAGCACGTTCTCTGAAATGTGCAAGCATGAAGCCTAAAAACAACTGTCCCACAGCTGATCAGTAATATCCTTACCCCCTTGTATGTTTACAAAAGAAGATATTGAAAGGGAATTGCTTGCCAGATGCTTATATATACTGAAATGGAGTAATTGGGGAACAGGTGTTAAAGAATTGAGACTACAGTCAGAATTGTCAGGGGGGTTGGAAATGTTAAGAGGCCTCATTTGGTATGTGATCTTCAGGGTTTATTCAACCGGGTTAGGAACTGGCTGTTGCTGCCATTGAATTGGTGAATTGCTGTGATCATGTCTCCGTTTCTTAAAGTCCTGTAGCAGGCCTTGGTAGAATGCCTGTCATCATTTGAAAAGTGATTTACAAATAATCCCTATGTTCTTGAGGAGCAAAGCTTCTTGCCTTTGGCCCTCCTTGCTGAGCAGCTTGTCTTGTGAGCTTATAATACTGTCAAACACGACACCCCTTTGCTCTGTCTGCCTTTTAAAGCAAGTGTTGTCATTTGGCTCTCAGGTTCAAGTGCACATGGGGTTATTGTGGTAGCTCCTGGCTTGGAGGGAGTTGAGTAATGCCTGGGATTTTTTGTTTGCAGCCAGCACCTGGCAGCATTCCAACCCCCGAGCAGCAGCAGACTCTGCGTGAACAGCTTGAGAAGATCCACACGCTGTTCAGGCGCCAGCTGGGAATCCCACTGCTAGGTAAGAGCACGCAGGCTTGGATAAGGCCACAGCCCTCCTGCTGGTTGGGCAGTGACTCTGCCACTGACTTCTTTTGTGTTGCTGTGCTGTGTTGTCCTAAGGGTCCTGTAATACCTCAGGGCTTCTTGAAAAACCTTTTTGGGCCCTTTTTTTAGGGAACACTGTGCCTGTGAATTACAACCATGTTTTTTCAGCACGCCTGGAAATAAAAACTGCCAAAACCCCCTTTTTCTGTACATGCGGTGGAATAACAAGGGTTGCACAATCAATTTAGTAGCCAATTACCAAACAAGGCAGGCACAGAGAACCTGTGGTGACTGGCATTTGTGTTAGATCCTGGATTGATGGCTGGTAACAATCTTAGCTTCTGACATTTCATTTAATTACCAAGAGAGGTGGTGATTGTCAGGCTTTCACTTCCTGCCCTCCTTACTCCCTTCCCTGAATGTCTGCTTTGTAGTCCTGAGCAAGCACACACACGCACAGAGTTCTCTTGCTCTGATTTGCACATGGAAACAATTTGGCTTGTTCTTTCTGTCCCTGAAAGCCTCAGGGAAATCCTGCTGTTTGTGTTTTAAAGCAATTTAAGAACATAAGCGTTGCTATCCTGATTCAGACAAAAGAACCAGCTAACCCCTTATCCTATCTCTAACATTGGCAAGTAGCGGATGTTTTAGAAGAAGGCTCAGAAACTGAGCATATGTAGAAACGATCCATCTCCCAGTCAACACAAGTTGGTTACATGTTTAATAGTACCTGATGGACATGCCCTTCACAAATCTTTCTAAACTCCCCCCTCCCTTTTTTTTTTTAAAGTCCAGTTATACAAGTGGCCTCTACAGCTTCCTTCTGTCGTGAGTTTGAATTGGAATGTATTGTACACAATAGGATGATATAGGTGGGGACAGTCCTACTTTGCACAGGGGGTTGGACTAGATGACCTCCTGATCTCCCTTCCAACCCCAGTTTTCTACAATCCTATGACAATAACTGTTCCCAAGTCCTTCAGCCCTGTGGGTTTATAGTGGCTCAGCTAAACTGCATCTCAATCTTGGCGTAATTACATGAGAGCATCAAAACATGGGAAGTTGAATTCAGACTTACTTGAAGTGTCAGTCACCAAAATTCCTTGCATGTATGTTACTAGATATGGAAACCACCTATGCTGAATATGAAGAATGGTCAGAAGATCCGATACCAGAAGTGGTAGTAAAGAACTACAAGAAAGCCCTGCAGCAGTTGGAAAAGTGTAGACCGTATGAAGAGGCCTTGGTAACTATTTTAAACCTGCATTGTTTTGACGCTAAGAATTACTACTACTTCCTGGTTTTTCCAAACAAACACTGAAGGGAAATAATGACGTAACAATATTCCAAAAGCCCTTCTTGGGAGTAAGCCATGCGCAAGAAACTTCCTGGCTACCACTCTTGTTTAAGGTGCAATTGCAAGTATTGTTGCAGCTTGAAATAGATTGTCTAACCAGTGAAACCTGCATCAAGGATACATTTACAGTACAAATAAAGTCACAGGAATTCTGCTTGGTTTTCAGCCCCTCCAGGTGTACTAGTCTAGTTGGGGTAGATAGGTGGCTCTGAGCAGTCCCAGAGTCTGTGAAAATTGAAGGGTCAAATCCAGTGCATCTACACACAACTCTCCTGGACCCACTGAATCCAGCTCGGGGCCTGTTTGGATTTGGGGTTGATATGCTTTGTTCCATGCATAGCCTAAATCACTATCCTTTCTGTATTCCTGTCTGCTTTCTAGCTCGTGGCGGAGACCCCAAAGCTAGCTGAATATCAAGCCTACATTGACTTCGAAATGAAAGTGGGTGATCCGGCTCGCATTCAGCTGATCTATGAGCGTGCACTGGCTGAGAATTGCCTTGTGCCAGACCTGTGGGCTCGTTATAATCAGTATTTGGTAAGGAAAGTAAAAATATGATGTGTTTTCTGCTTTATAGCTTTAATGTAGGGTCCATAAACCCAGCCACAGATCTTGCCTCTGCCTCTGTTTCCATACTTGGATAAGTTGGCTAACCAGCTGCTTGTATCTATGAAGTTTCTATCAGTATCCTCATTTTCCTTTTTCCATGTGATAATGTATTTACTGGTCAAACGTGTGATCCAGTTTGGTAGAGTAAAACTGTTACTGCCTCCTGGCCCTGTCCAAAGGTTTCTACTGCTGCTTACATAACAGGAATCCCTTCAAGGGTCTGTACCCTGACCTAGAATGTCCTGCAGGGGCCTTTCCTACTTCCCACAGCTCTGTCTTTCCAGCAGTATCTAGTCACTGCAGAGCTAACCCAGAACTGAGTTTCTGGCTTGTCCAGTGCCAGCCACAGTGCAGGTTACCATGTCTTTACTGATACTGCACTTGGCCATCCCAGAAAAACACTGTTCTTTCTGCTGCTGTAAGTAAAGTTATTGGCCTGAGGAAAAGCAGCATCTGGGTTCTGACCTCTCTCTTGGCATGAGCCATCTAGCCTGGGTTGAAAACACTAGTAAACTTGGGAGCAGGTAGGTGCCCAGGATAGTTCTGCAGGGAAGACCTCCCTACAGTGAGCTGTTTATTTTTCCTTTGGCTGCCTCTAAGGTGGTAGAGTAAGTTTAGCTTTCGGGTGAGGTACACCAAGTCCCTTCAAAGGGCTGTCCTACCCTGAGATAATAGAGCTTTTTCTCCTCCGTGTACTTTATCACGAGAGATTAAACCTTGAATGAATTACAGAGATCTCATTATAGCTGATTACATAAGAGAATTGATTAGTAGGAGGTTATTTGGTAGTATTGATGTAACCTGTCCTGCCAAAGTGCTTATCCTTTCCTCATCTAAGCTGGTCAGTCAACCTCCAGGGCTTCATATTTTTTGCCATTCCAAGTATTTCTGTCCCTTTTTTTTTATATCCAATCAAAATGTTCTGCTTCTGAAGGCATTGCATTTTTGGAATCTTGCATTTGTCTGGGATGCTGTCCAGTGAGTAGGAGCAACGTGCTTTTGTAAAGCCTTGGATTAATTCTGTGATTGTTTTAGGATCGGCAGTTGAAAGTGAAAGAGCTGGTGCTCTCAGCACACGATCGGGCTGTTAGGAACTGTCCCTGGACTGTTGGGCTGTGGATCCGGTACCTCTTAGCTATGGAACGGCACAGAGTTGGTCACAGGACTATTTCTGGTAAAGAAATACTGTTATAAATTGGCCCTTGTTTCCTGAATGCAGAACTAGCTTCCAGTATGTTGGACTAGGAAATGGTGTGTGTGGAGAATGGCGATGTGCAGTATCTTACAAGAAATCAAAACCATTTTCATCTCTTAAAGTAGGGTTCATGGAACATAGCTAGCTAATCCCTTTTTAGTAGAGTCTGTTCTCTGGAATAACTTCCTTCTTAAGCATAGAAATTACCATTTCAGTTTGGCAGCGTGCAATTATGGATGTAATGAAACCTGCTTATCTTCGTCTCCCTCTTTCTGCCTCTTTAGTTATTGGTAAATCAAATAAAACAGACATATTGCTTTGTTTTTTTTTCTGTAGATATCTTTGAAAAGGCTTTGAATGCTGGTTTTATACAGGCTATGGATTATGTGGAAATATGGCAGGCATATCTAGATTACCTAAGAAGAAGGGTGGATTTCACACAAGGTAATTGTATATAAATAAATCAGAATGCTAATCTGGGGAGCGTCTAGAAATAGTAATATTCTTTGTACTCTTCTTAAAGAATCTCTAATGATTCTTGCCTTTGAGATGTTACCAAAAAATTACTTCCTCCCCAGTTTTTTTTAATAAGTATAAAGCATAATTTTTGCAGGTTGTTGCAAGGCAAGAATAAATTGCTGTGCCCCAAAATGTACTAATGTATTTAGGTTTCACGTGGCCTTTGGCATACTGAGTGTAAAAGCACAATGGTACTTGCAGCAGTGAAAAATGCTTTTATAGAAACAAACTTTTGGTGACGTTGGATTTCTCTGCATAGGCATTAGTAAAGAATCTCCAGTAGACTAAAGGTGTCCGTTTTAAGGTCCAGTTATGTTTCTTTGTATTTTTCTAAAGACTCAAGTAAAGAATTAGAAGAGCTGAGGTCTGCTTTTGCCCGTGCTGTGGAATATTTAAAGCAGGAAATGGAAGAGGGTAAGTGAAAACATTTGAAATATTTCTTTCTTCCCGGTACGGTACGGCTTATTTCCTATTCTGAATGATTTTTTTGGAGGCTGTGTTGTATGGACTTCCATGTTCTAGATCACTAATCTGGCTCACAATCGTATGAACTGTAAAATGCAAATGTGTTACAATAGCTTGTTTATGAATCCATCTGTTTAAAAATGTCTTAAATGAATCTTTACTTTTTATCTGAAGGTTTTAGTGAAAGTGGGGATCCATCCTGCACCATAATGCAGAACTGGGCAAGAGTTGAGGTAATCTTTTCCATCAGTTTATTGTACTTAAATTTATTTGGTTACTGGGATGTTTTTGGGTTTTTTTTCCACACTGCCCTTAGATATGTATGTGCGCTCTTTACCATTGGACGCACATGTCACAGTGACTTGAATAGATGAGGCTTTCACCTTTTTAACATCATGACTCTTCCAAACTGATGAACTCCTAGTTGGGGCCTCTCCTGGTTTTCAAATTAAGGAACTAAAGAGAAATGTTTTCAAGTTTCAGTCTGTTCTTTAAAGGAATTTTTAATTATGAGGAATAACAATGAAATGAAAAAGAGAAAATCAGAAATACTTATAGCCTTTTTATTTGCCTGCAAACCAAAGGCCATGATCAAGATAAGAACTGCTCTGTGTAGAAAGGATGTCTGTGAATGTTAATGACACAAGAGAGAGGTGCAGTTAAAAAGCTGGAGAAATGCACCATTATAGTGTTGTTCATTTTAAGACATAGTTCTAAACTACATCAAATATTTTTAACACTCCTTTTTTCTTCTTTCTTCAGGCTCGCCTTTGTAACAACATGCAGAAGGCCAGAGAGCTCTGGGACAGTATTATGACTAAAGGGAATGCCAAATATGCCAATATGTGGCTAGAGTATTATAACCTAGAGAGGTAAGGACTCAGGGTAACACACACCTTAATTAATCTCTCAGCTGCTAGTTTCCTCATAATATGCTTAAGGCTGTATTTCCCAACCAGTGTGCCGCGGCACAAAAGTGTGCCATCAGAAATGAACAGATGTGCCGTGGAATTTTGCCATGGCAATGAGCTACAATAGGTATGAGGATGGGGAATGCCTTAACAGGTGTGCCACAGAAAATTTTTATGAATGTAAGTGTGCCTTGGGCTGGAAAAGGTTGGGAAGCACTGGCTTAAGGTGAATGTGCACGATTAACATGTAGAAAATGCCTGTAGAGATTGTCTTAGTGACGCTACGGCATCTTCCCCAAAGTGTTACAAAGATGGATCCTGTGTTTTACCTGGGGAAATAGGATATAATCACTCCCCCATCTGTTTTATGATTGGTATGGGGAGAATATGCTCTTTACTGTCTTATGATCCTTCTATAGGGCACATGGAGATACCCAGCACTGCCGGAAGGCCTTGCATCGGGCTGTACAGTGCACAAGTGACTACCCTGAGCATGTCTGTGATGTGCTGCTCACTCTTGAGAGGATAGAAGGTAAGTTCACCTTTAAATAGCACCTCTTACTTGGTTTGCTGAGTCAAATGATAAGGCACAGTCGGTAGAACACATGTAGTGCACACTGAGGTAATGAAGCCCTGGGTTGTTCCAATATATAGTGCGCTTGTTTGAACCTTTAAACTTCAGAAATGAGACCTCCACTTTGAGTGACCTTCTTTGCAGGAAAAATGCATTAGTGCGAGCCCACTGTGACCAGTGAGATTCTTTCCTTTGAGTTCAGAAGGGTTTGTATCACGTGCAATAGATTTCCATTGTGTTTGCTTTTTGAACTGACCCTCTTAAAGGTCATTAGTTACATGTGTGCTTCCATTACATCGTGTCTCATGGCAGGTAGTACCAGGGGATGTGTAGAGAGGTCTCATTCCTGATTTTAGCAGGTGTATGTGTTAAATTATGGCAGGTTAAAAAAATAATCAAATTTTGATATTCTCTAGGTACTTTAGAAGACTGGGATGCAGCTGTTCAGAAGACTGAAAACAGACTAGCTCGGGTTAATGAACAAAGAGCAAAGGTCAGAATTTTTTCAATACCGTTTAATGAAACAATATGAAATAATTATTCCAAGGTCAGCTTTACATGGTGTTTAGGTTTCCCTTATCAGCTTCCCCAAATGATCTTGGGTTGTAGTCCAGACTAATACCCCCCAAAATACCCTTCAGTTTATTGATATGGCCAGTTTCTTCTAGATTTGGACTGTTAGCTAATCTTGAACATTTTATAAATGTCAACTTGGCATTTAAATCTGTAGGAACAAGCAGTTGAGATGGATGTGAAGTGTCTGTCCTGCTACTTCTGTGACTTTAGAGCTGGGTGGAAGAAGCTCACTGCCATAGATACTCATGCTGTGCTTCTAGAAAGTGTGTCAGAGAAGCTCCCTGCAGGCTGTGGTGACTCAAAAAACTCTTAAATGCTTCCAGGCTGCCGAGAAGGAGGCTGCTCTTGCCAAGCTGGAAGAGGAAAAAGCTGAACAGCGGAAGCAGGCTCGGGCTGAGAAGAAGGCTTCAAAAAAGGCTAAAAAAACTAAGTCTGGAGAGAAGCGCAAAGCTGAGGATGATGATGATGGGGAGTGGGGCCAGGAGGAAGGTGAGACCACAGCGGGTGCCTTTTCACACTTAAGGTAGTAGGATGGTTTGTGGTTTCCTTGCAGTCAGGGTTGAGGAAGTGCTACACTGGGGTCTGTTTATTTGGTAACTCAGGTCTGTTGTGTTGAGAGTTCAGTGCTTCTCCATCAGCCTGCTTGTCCCCTTAGGTCACAAAACTCAACGCTAGGTGAACACCTAAGTTGCTTCTTTTGATAGAAAAGTAAATTAACAACAAACGCCGACTATAAGAGACTTTTTATAACAGGTGAACATTAATTATCCAAGCCCATACTTTCCTGCCTGTTTAGCTATGTTCTCCAAGCTAGTCACACCTGAGCTGCTGCTCTAAATACTTGAAGTGGAAACCAAACTTCTCTTGGGACTCTCTTTCCCCTAATTCCTATGTGGAGGGGAATTCCTCTTATTCAGGATGGCTTCAGATGGCTGCTTTGTCTCTCTCAATGAATGAGACCAGCTTGGTGCTGGGCAGGGGAAAGCCACGTGCATATGCAGAATTATAATTTTATTGAGACAGGAAGTGGGGAAAGTTAACTGCTGACCTTGTGTCCCTTAAAAGTCTTTTTCTGGTTTGATCCTGTAGTCCTTGTCATCCTGTTGAAGCTATATAGTTAAGGGATGGACTTCTCTTGTCTGTAGGACCTGATCTTGCATGTCCAGCTCCTGCTTCCGTAGATCAGGCTGTTAAAGGGAGGTATATAAGCTGTGGGTAGGGGGAGGTCTGGAAATGATTAAACTTTCTAGAAAAACTTTGTTTCACTAAACAGTTGAGCAGCCCAGCAAGAGACACAAGGGAGATGGTGAAGCTATGCTTGCTGATGAAGAAGGAGAAGATATGGAGGTAGAATCTGGGCTGTTTGGAAGAAGTGCACCTACCAGGGCAGATCCTCTATCTAAACAGAAGGAAAAGGCAGCCAGCAGCCGAAAAGAAGCCCCCAAAATTCTCCACGACAGTAACAAAGACAACGTCACGGTTTTTGTCAGCAACCTGTCCTACAGCATGACCGAGCCAGAAGCGAAACTGAAGGAGCTCTTTGAGAGCTGCGGGGAGATGGCAGAAGTCCGTCCTGTGTTCAGTAACAAAGGGCTTTTCCGGGGCTACTGCTATGTGGAATTCATGGAAGAAAAATCTGCTCTGAAGGCCCTTGAAATGGATCGCCGAGTGGTGGAGGGGAGGCCGATGTTTGTCTCTCCCTGCATTGACAAAAACAAGAATCCAGACTTTAAGGTATGACACTTTAGTATTTGAATAAGGAACAGCAGAGATGGGATTGCCTAGTACAATTAGCAGCATGTCTACTCTCTTCCAGAATTTCTCCGAGCATTAACTTCTTTGAGCCATCGGTCCAGAAGTTACACAGACAAACACGGGATGTGTTGAAAGCACCTTGGTAACGCTGTCAGTAGCACAGTAGATGGCCAGTCAAAGCCATCTTGTGACATTGTGGATCTTGGTGCTTTCAACTACCTTATGTCGCCGTGGAAGGAGTGTAGGACCCCACTCCCATGTAGCGGGGACAGTGGTGACTCCAGATTGTAGTCTAGTTACAGACATCTAAGGGAGATCCTATTCTACTGTGCTGGAGTCCCTAAAAAACTATGGATGCTAAAGCCTGGTGATTCCTCTTCAGTTTCTCATGACTTGGTCTTAATGCAGCATTGAAAGTGCATCACAAAAGTAGAGGGGTAAAACTTGTGTAGCCATGTTCATCTAAAAAGCAAAAGCAGTCAGTGTGGTAGATGTGATATCTTTTTATTAGACCAGCTAGATAGTTGCAAAAAAAATTGTTTGAAAGCTTTCAGGCTCATACACCCTTTCTCAGGCAAAGGAGAATGCAAAGATTGTAAAATTTCTCCCAGATAGAAATGAAACTTCATATTGCATAGGAGAGCTGGAGGGTGGTGTGAGTTCTTCTGGCTGGAAAAGTTCATTTTATGTAAATTGGGCTTGGATGAAAGTCAGAGCAGTCTGTTTACCTCACAGGTGTCTGATGGCAAGCAGGATGTTGAATTATGCTTCTTTCTTGTTAAGATGTTTTATATTTCATAGGAGTACTAGTGATGGAAAGGTTCTCCTGGGCAAGGAAATTCTGTTGTGTTCAGGCTGCCCTGCAACTATGCAAATTTGGCTCAAAACAAAAGGCTGGAGCAGGGGTGTTGGTATCCAGGTCTCAGGCTGTTGAATTTTGCTTCTGTCTTGTACAGTGATTAATTTTTCATTTCAAAACAGCTGATTATGAAGTTTTCCATGTTTCAGGGATAAAGGTTGGAGCAGTGTTGGTCTAAAAAGCAAAAGCAGTGAGCATGGTAGAGGCAATATCTTTTATTAGACCAACTAAATAGTTGAAAAAAAAAATTATTTCTTTGCAGTCACAAAAGTAGATGCATTTATGGGACTTGAGCAGGATGGAGTAGGATCACGTTTAGACGCTGGGTACCACTTAGATGCCTGATGGGAGGAATAGGATCTTGGCCCAAGGTTTATCACTGGATCTCATAGTTTTCAGCTTTAGTGGGACATCAGACATGATTTTATATAGAAAGACCCTTGAGTTGTAGCAGGGAGGGAAGGGATCCCCTGTACTGGATGCAGGCACTGTCGTGTTGTGGGAACTGGGTTCAG